CCACAGCTAGACTCCAAACCTTCCCACGTACACTTGGGGGTAATCCCTGCCACCACAGCTCTCGAACTCTTCGAGTAGCACGCCTAAGATAGGGAAGCAGGGAGAAGAAAAAGAAAAAAAAAAAAAAAAAAAAAAAAAAAAGAAAAAAGGCACATATTGCACATCTTCTTTTCTAAAATCACTGGGCAATTTACAAGCAAGATAACATACCATTTACCAAATCAGTATTCAAGGATCTCTGCTTATGCTAAAGCTCCACTAAAAAACCCCAAAACATCAAGCTCCCAGAAAGCACATTTCATGTTGCTCTGTAATGACCTCACACTATATCACAGCAACAAAAACCGACTTCTTGACAACACAGAAAGGAAAAGGAAAATAAGGTATGTGGGTCCTCAGTTTCCAGAGGAGAAACAAGCCACCCTTGCCTCATTTACAGAGTAGAACTTTACTTACATGCCTTCCCAGTTAGGTAGTATTTCATTGACCCAAATCACCATAGCACTAGCGATATTCTCTTCTTGCTTGAAACGCTCTCTCATTATTTTTTTCCTTTTATGTGCTTCTTTAATTTCTGTTAGGCATAACATGTTAATAATTCTGTATTAGTGTATATGAATTATTCGGTAAATAATTCAGCTATTATCCAAATATTTAGATGTCTGAAAGATGAAGGGTAAGTTACAGTTGTGTGTACTATTTCTGTGGACTGTAGGTGTATTTCTCAGGACATTTTTTTAATTTAAGCTAAGTTGTTCAAGTACAGTGATTTAGACAAGCAAAAGTCTGACTAGAACTCTCTTCTGCAGTACACAGAATGACTAAAAAGCAAGCACATCATCAGCGCTGTTCTTTCTGTCATGATTTTCATACCACATTCTATCTGAGCCTTACTTATTACTTAGACTAATCAGCAGTATTTATAGATAAAATTATTATTTAAAGGTGCAATTCTACATTCATTTTAAAATTATTCAAATTTTACTGAAGCATCTACCTAAAAGGATTATGTATTTTCTTTTCTGGAAACAGGACCTAAAGACCTGAGACAGTCACAATGGTGAACAAGAGAACAATGTTCTGCCATCTGTTAAAAAAGGATCATTTGTAGATCCCTCTTATTAAAAAAGCTAAGGGAAGGACAGAGCAATGCTGTCGTGACATCACTAAGAACCACTGTGACTAGACATTTTCTATTTACGCATGCATTAGACACAACAGTGTAAACATGCCACCCCTGGTAAACCAGTACGGCTGACCAGCTTCATTAAGTTTTCACTGAAGCTTTGTGTGTGGCAACAGTTAATGTAATAAACCAGGGCACACATATGAAAACACTACACATGGCTGCACCTCCCAAGATGCAGTTATTAAAGAACATGGACCACAGATCACAACTTACAAGATGCACACCACAAGAGCAGAGTGAAATGAATTGTCAGATGCCTTGGATTTCTTATTTCATCTTTCAAAGTTAAAGCTGCCTCAGATCCATAGAGGATCAATCAGTTCAGAAGCTTGTATTTCTGACAACAGCTCAAGTAAAGCATGCAGCACAGATTCTTAAAATAGCATATTCCCTGAATACTAGGCACAAGACTGCAGAAGTCCTTTCAACAACTATTCATAGATTGACACAGTACCAGATGCTACAGATCTGTTTTTTAAATTAAACATATCTAGTGGGAGTAGGAAGGTTCACACAGGTAGAGCTGTCTGGAAGAAAATCCGGTTTTCATCTGTCTTCGTGCTGAAATTGATCTCAAATTCCTGAGAAACTAGATCTTTAAGCAGTCAGTTTTATTATACTTTGGCTCTTAGTGGCAACTGCAGCAACACAGCTTGAAAAAAGAGCCCAAATATCCAGAAAGTTTCTAGCTGATCATACTACACAAGTAGTTTTTCCTTAAAAAGTAAACAAAAGGTTAAGCTGCATTCTGAACCTAGTTACATTCATTGTAGTGGAATAAGAAAACAATTTGATAATTGAGTTCTGTTTTAAACTGCATGCCCCTATGTACCAGAGAATAACCCAGACATCAAACATGAAGTTCTTTAATGTACGTACTCACCTACAACCCAAAATTTCCTTTATTTTTGCTGCACAGTTAAAAAGACTTACAGTGATTATTCGCAGTTAACATACCTCGTTTTTTTGCCTCTGCTACCATCTCATCATATTCTTGTCGGTGACGTAAAGCCTCCTCCACTGATTTGGCAGGAAGATTTCTGAAAACAAGTTGTTCCTGAATTCAATACACACAAGTGACATTCTGGACCATTTCAGAACAGGTTTAAATTTGGCTTTTCTCTAAGGTGAGCTCTGAGGTTGTCACACTACCAGTGTTTCAGTAACAGTTGTATAGAACTGTCAGATGTTTACTGCTCCTGTTTTTTAGTTTCTTCTAGAGCTTCCCCCAAAGTATGATTATTAAATTTGTTTAACATCTGGAACGATGCTCAAATTAACTAATAAAAGGGAAATACTGACAAACCATACAGTTATTTATTCCAATGCATTTCTGCACATGTGTATTTTAATCACTAAGTACACCTGCATATTGAGACCCAGTTGTTCACATGAAATCTGTCATGGCGTATTTTCAATAAAAGGTAAAGGTTTTTATTCATTATAGCTAGCCCTTTAAAATTCCCACAAAAGAAGATAGGTTTCCCAAAAGAAGAAAGAATAGATCACCATTTATGTCAGAGCTAAAGCTAAGGAAGCTTGCTGCAGTGCTACAAGTTCACCAGCTCAAAATGTGTTTTTTGGCTGCATAGTGATCCTCTAATTGCCAAACACACGCTTCCTTGTGACCAAGAAGACTCATTTCAAAACAAATCAGAGCACAATGTTTGCTCTCAGTCTCTTACCCAATTTGGTCTACTTTGGTTCAAAATAAATAGAAAGCAGTTTTGTCATTTTAATATTAAAAGTTTTGCATCTCCTCTTATACAAGCAGAAAAGATCACTTAATATTTCCAGTAAAAGTGAGAGCAGAATATATTTTCAAGGATGGATAGTGGCAGCACATTAGACACTTGGGATGGCACTCCAATTTGAAACAAGTGTCGTTTGGAAAAACATACTTATAGTAGTTTGTAAGTTGTAGTAGTATGAAAGTAAAGAAAAGCATCAGCAATCCAGTAACTGCCTATCTTACTCTCTGCCATACTGTAAAAGAAATAATACATTAACAAAAAAAATACTGCTAGCAATCCTCAGGATATTTCTGTTTTAGCACTGAATGAGCTTATTTACCCCTAGAGAGAATATTGAAAGAAACACTGTTTCTGAAATATGTTCTGTTTTCCATTTCCTAATTGGAATTGAACAGAGCAAACATTTAACAGTGCCATCACAAGCTTTTTCATGGTGCAATTTGAAAGCATTGCTCCATTTGCTTTCCTCAAGCATGTGTTCCTGGTCAGCAGGTCCTTCTCTTTCCTTCAAATTGCTAGACTGTATAGCTGAAAATACTGACCAATCTATTACTAATTTTTCATTACCATTCTTATTTGTACTGATATGGGTTTTGTTACATTTTCATCTACTGTTTCCTTGCCTTCAGCTGTAATTTTAAGAAGTCATGAAAACTTAATCGGAACAGGGGAAAGGAAGAGTTTCAGTGACTGCTCCAATCTTGGTACCAACAATGCACTGAACTGTAGCTGCCAGATACAAAATGAGCACTCAGCATTTGTGACAGGAAAGGATTGCCTGTGTTTCCAAGGCAATCCTTCCCACTCCTGCTATTACCTACCTAACAATTTTTTTTTTCCTTTTTAAAAACTCGTGTGGTAAGACAAGTCCAGGTTTGATGAAATGACAACTGTCACTATTAAGTCTTCACAACTGGTCTAGAAATTAAGTTTCCAGATTGGGGAACAGAGAAGCAGGGAGAGGGGAGTGCATGCTAAGAAGGCAGTGAAGAAATCAATCAGAATTCCTGAAGACTTTAGGGATGCTCACAACACTGTCACAGACAGCTGTGATATACAGTAGGTAATAAATTAGTGACTCTATTACAGTGAGAAAGAACTCCTCACATACACTGTAATATATTTAAAAGGTTCTTCTGGAGGTACTTGTTAGGCTATTATCTCAGACAGGATAATCCAATGATACTTTCACATAAGACTTGTGAAGTTTAGCTCATCATAAGTATATCTAAAATTCAGTTGCACAGCAGAATCATACTTACGCTGGTCGATCCTCCAGAATCAAAGCAGTAGTTGAAAGTGGTTCAAATTCAATATTTTTACGTCTTGCCGATGGGGGTGGAGGTTTATACATTCTTCCTGTCCGTGCTTCATATTCCTAAACAACATTATTGATAAAAATTAAATTTCAACTTTCAACCTCACCCATAATTAGTAAGCATGATAATAGTTAATACTTAAATAATTTAATATTATATATTTTAACATTATTTTATAGGACAGCAAGCAAGATACTACAAGTTGAAATTGCTGATAGCAACAGTGCACCTTTCCAGGACTGCTAAGTGAAGATGAATCAGAATACAGTTTCTTGCATCAACTTAATCTTTGATCTATTCTAGTTCAATATTACAACTGAGCACCCAAGGATCAGTTAGTTAGGAAATCTGCATAATCTTCCCAACCTAGTTAGTGCAGAAGTATATTTAAGTAACATGTAGAGTTGACAGTAAAAAACCCTCACCACTAACAACAAAAACCACTAATCAAGAACATGTGTCTCTTCCCATTTCTTCCTCTCAATTCTAGCCACCCTTAAGATCCAGTACACCTCACATTGCTGAGGCCTTTAGCAAGACCTTCAAACTCATAATAACCATAACCACCTACACTATACTCAGTGACAATATAACAATATTTGTCATTACAAGTCTGTTTCACATAATTTCTTTCTCAGAGGTTAAAACATGCAATCTACTTAGAAATATTCAACAACCTTTAATACACACGAGATTCTGAGAAAGAAAGAATCCCACTCTTTTACCACAAGAGCAACACAACAAAACAGAAATATGATACAATCTTTAGAAAAAAGGCTAAGCAGACCCAAGTGAAAACCTCAGATCTCAGATACTCTCTTTTTTAGCCTCTAAATAAACATTTACTGCCAAGTTAACCTTTTAAGATGTGCTGAATGGGTATCTGTGACAAGACCTTTTAACCTATTCCCAAACCAAATTAACTTGTGGAGTCACACTCTCCTTAGGTATGAAGGCTAAATACTAGTTTCTCTGCAAGTCTTCCACATGCTGGAATTCAAACATACCATACTAAGAGCTGAAAAATCATCTTTTTTAGAGAACAAATTCAAGATACTTTAGTAATGTATTTTCACAGATCACACAGCTCTATTCTTAATCATAGCCAAGTGAGTTCTAACATATAAGTTTTTTTTAATCTATAGACAGTTTGCTGTTGTATATATCTGTTGCTTTAATAACTCTGTAAGTAAATTTTAAAAAAAAATCAAATACTAATTAGGTCACATATCTTCCCACTCATATAGGAATCTTCTCTTCAAACTGCTCCCAAATGAATCTCACCCCTAATACACAGCTTCAGGTACACCTTAGTTCTCTCAGAGAGAAACAAAGCTTTACACAGTCAGTATTCATTGACAGCATTCTAGAAACAGAGCTGACAACTTTAAAACTCTTATATAAGTTAAAAGTTCAGTACACAGTTCATAAAGTTAAATGCAAAAAGACCATTGCACATGCACAATGCAACTTCAGATTTCCAGAGAAGGCACCAAGTCCAAGATTAAGGTCTCTTAGAGCTTTCTGCTCAACAGCCTCCTCACTCTGTCCATTTCTAACAATCTCTAACAAAATTTCTGTTCTTCCGCACTGGGTATGATACATTAAATGATCCGAGAAGTACAACCTCAATGATGTCACATTAATCTCATGTCAAGACTAAAATTAAAAGACAGTCAAAAATCTATAGCAGCCAGCCTACTCTTTCAACTATAGGAGAACATCTGTTGCTTTACCATCTTCAAAAAAAGCCCAAATACCTTGATAACAACTGTTTGCTATCATCATTTAAACAAATATTCACACTAAAATCCCAATTCTTTTTAAACACAATGACTTAAAAGTTACTAGCCAAGTCTTCTTAAATACAACTTACTTCTCAATAATTCTAAGGTTTTGGCCATGAACTGTGGTTATACAAATTTCCTAGAACACACTTCCCCTCCTGAAGGGTAATTCCCAAGACAGTTTTTGCTTTAAAATAATGTGCATCCAACACCATTCATCATCACCACTCAAACAAGTACCTTGAACAACTGGGCACATGGGATTGGTAGAGTTCTGTTGTAATTCACACAAGCACAAGAAAAATCAGAAAACTGACATTCACTGTATGAATGAATACACATATTCTCAAGGTAACATTATTTCATTCCACCCGAAAACAGAAACATCAGCACTCTTGCCATGCTGTATACCTCAGGATACTCCAGTACATTTGTAAGTTAGGAATGCATCCTGTGACAGCAACCAGAGATCAGCATCCAGGCTGCAGTACAGTAACAATGCCATCCCTCCTATTCTTGGTAGAAGTTCTAATTCATTTTCACATCCTTCTTTAGTTCATTTAGTAGTCTAGAACCTTTTCAATGTTCCTACATGTTGAATTTATATGCAAGTTTAAAAAAAAAAAAATCAGCACTGCAAGTTGTACGTTATAAATTAAGCCACTCTTACCTTTTTTAACACAAGCAATATATTTGAATAACGCTAGTGCTTCTGGCTACTGTATGTGCTAAGAACAGATATACTATTTCCAAAGCAGCAGAGAAAGAAAAAAACAAACTAAAAGTCTTCAGAGATTTTCACAAAAGGCAGAACTCATCATCCAACTGTGTTTCTGAAAATAAGTACATGCTACAAACAGTTGGGTTTTGTAAGAAAAGATCACATGAACAGAGAAGGAAAACTGTCACTAGAAAAAGTCAAAGCAGAGATCAAAATAGCTTCGGGCTCAAACTGTCATGGTGGCTTATTCCCCAAATCGAAATACATTCACAAAGCATCAGAACTTCCCACTGGAAGATGCTTCTTCCTCAAGAAGTCCGTGCACTAGGAAATTTATTTGAAGATTAGATCCCAGAACCATCAAACACATAGAGAACTTACACAACTAAAATATCCATTTTTTTCTGGATACTTTGCATGACTAGATGTAAAGAATCCAATATTCTTAACTCTGCATTTGAATCAGAATCTAAAATTCTTGGTGTGGAACAAAAAGCTTGAACTGACACAAAATTTCACTTCAAAAGATGTGAGCTAATACTTTTCCATAACAAGGTAAAAATACAATTTAAAGGTAAATGCTTTGTCAAATGCTTAACATGCAGGACATGTATTAGAAGACAGCTGACAGCTAAGATTCAAGACTATGTAAGACCTGTATATGTAAAAGAAGTTATTTTGGAAGTGTCACATGTATGGTTTCACAAGCTTAGAGAAGGTTGTTAAAAAATATTACAAGATATCAGGCATTTACTGAAAGTTCCAGAACGTTTCACAATCCCAAAGGAGAGACAAATTTCAGCTTTAACAGAAAGTAAAAATAATTATCTCCTTATTAAGGCTGGAACTGCACCTTCTCATCCTCTAAGCCAATAATTAATCTGTTAACAGGCTAAAGGCATGTTTTTCTTGAAAAACACCATGACAAGATATTTAAGAGTGCTTCGATATGTGGAGGGACTTGCATTTCTGGTATTTATTCCCACAGAAATACAGATAAGCCTATTAACCTACAGGCAGGTAGCAGGTAACTGGGGCTGGGCAAAAAATGTCTTTTGCTTATAAACTGCCTTTGTGCCTAAGATAAAGATACCCCAAATACTACTTTCTAAAAAAAAAAAAAAAAAAAAAAAAAAAAAAAAAAAAAAAAAAGAAAAAACCACACACGAACAAAAAAACCAACCAACCAATCAAACAAAAACCCACCAAAGAAACAACAACAAAACAAACACACATCCCCAACATCACCACAAAGAACACCAAAACACCTTCCTGGTGTTCTAAATAAACAAAAAATAATAAACCTGCAGAGGTCTATTGCCTGCACCTTTTCACTATCTACATGGAAAACATACAAAACAGAAGTTTCTTTCATCCTTTCTCTGAAGAACCATCTGGTACAGCCAGACCACTGAGAGTTATTTTAGATATCTCTAAACACTACTGGATTGCTCTGTGTAATTGCCCATAGCTCCTTCTTCCAATACTTAACAACCTTACAGAAAGGAAAACCAGCTGCATTGCAGCATTCCAGAAGCATTAGTTGACCTTAAGTAGGGTATGCTTCTGGGGATAAAGTATTTAACTAAGTGTGAACACAGTGATTCAGTCTTAGAAGACAAACTTGCATCTACAGTGCTCAAACTATACAGTTGTAAAGGAGTAAATACCAGCCATAAAATTTAACATGAATCTTGCTTGTATAAGTTTTGATCTATCTATGATCCACCAACAAAAACTCAACTCCTGGAAATGAGCAATAAAAGCCTTGGATTACAAGGACTGTGGAAGTCCTCACAGTACCAATCATGCAGCTAAAATACCACAGATCCAATTATGTTTTAGGCAAGCTGAAGGAGAAAGTGATCTGATAGGCAAGACTGAATTAATTTACCGCATCTTAAAGATTGCCTCTATTTAAAGTAGATGTCAAAGCACACTAATACTCCAATTAAACAAAGCATGCACCCTGCATATGACATTTTCTTCTAACATGCTTTCTCCTCCAAAATTCTAAGGCTGATACTAAAAGAGGTTTTATTCAATCAACCATGACTTCTGTTGAGAAAACAGAATGGGGATTGCCATATATTGTGCTAATGGTCTCTCCTCTACATACACATGACTCTGGAGCAGATGGGTCTATAAACCATCTATATGATTATTTTCATGATGTTATACAGCTGCTTAGATATATCACCAGAAAGATTGCATCCCTTCTTTTGAATCTACTATTTGAATGTACTCTCAGGCACATGTATGACTCTTGAGGATGGTCCTGTGCAGGCCTAAGAGATGGAGTCAATGATCCTTGCGGGTCCCTTCCAACTCAGCATATTCTGTGATTCTCTGAGTCAGGGTTGATCATTCAAGAATGGAAGCATTAATAGAATCACTTAGGAGGGCATCCATGTAAGAAGAATTTCTGCTAATGCATAATCCTACATCATCATATGTGCTGCCTCTGGGTTAAATGCTAAAATCTAAAGCTGGCACTGGCTATAAGGTGATCATAAACAAAAAAGTGTTTATAGCAAGAGCAGATGTCACTGAAAAATTCTGAGTCAAACTAGACATTTTCCTGGAACTAAGAATTCCAGATGCTATCAGAACAGGCAGAACAGTACATTCTTGTCTAATTTGCAGGTGAAATAGGAAGAATATATATTTATGGAGGAAAACATACTAATTTTCACATAGCACAAGAGACCAACCAAACTGACACTTAAGAGTTTCTAGGTCAACCTTCCAAAGTAATGCCATACACCTTCAATTCTTTGTTTACTTTATTGTTTCCTCAATTGGATATTTAACAAGGTGCATCACATTTAATCTTTTGTTCACAAGAAGCCACCGGCTTTGGGCCCAACAAAGAAGAGCTGAGAGTGGCCATTTGCCACTCTCAGCTCAGAATCAACTGGTAACCATTTGCATCAGAATCAACTGGTAGTTACATCACTGCTCTGTTTCACAAAGCCACAGCAACTGTTTCATAAAACTAAAGAGCCAACCTGTACTATTCCTGTTTAACAGACTGCAGGATTCAATAAAAAGTTTACAAAGGAAGCAATTGGAGCAATTTCAGAAGGATACAGTCACAGCAGATAGATGACACAACATAACGAAAGTCTCAATAGCTACGCTTTTCTAGGTTTCCAATTTCATATTGGAAATAAGTGATTAAAAGCATCTGGAGTTCTGAAGTGCCACTGTTAATGACTTGTGTGACTTAGTGACAGAAAAAAGATTCAAATCTAATAAGGTGTTCAAAAATATTAGAAATTAAGCCTTTTAACAACTTTTACCATTAAGCAACAAGGCACAAACATAGAAAGTAAATTACTATCAAGCTCTATCATTACCTATTTCCTGCTATTCAGGAACATGCAACATAAACGATAAACAATAATACTCTATCACTTTAAGCTGTTAGTGAGATTCATGTGTGAAGTTTGTTTGTTTATTTTACTAATGGTATTTAATGAGTTGATGGTTAGTGCCATAAAATATTCATGCTACTGTGAAAATGTGATGTTTTTTCTATTTTAATGAGTGCTACACAGTCCCATGCATGGCATTGAATACAACTAAAGAAAGTATATATTAAATTTCATACCCCTGTGTTTAACAGACTGAGAGCAGATATTGACGCAAGACTGCCAGAACTGTCATCCTAATGAGAAAAACAGAAGCAAAGCCTTAGTGAATAAATGAAGGGAAAAGACCGTTACAATATAGCAACATGCAAGCCAAAATTTAAATTCACATGTAGAGTATTTATCTTCTATGTTTGAAGACACATAAATGTGTCTGCTCCTCCTTCTCCAGCCCTCAAAATATACAGATACACATACAAAAGCTGCCCATTTGTGCAAGTTGTCTACAGACATTGGTTGTGTTATCTTTCTGGTTTAATTGATGTTTTATATTCTCAGTAATCAGCACTTTTGCCCAAAGTGAGATCTTTTGCTGTGGCACTTCTCAGGCACATGACAAAAGGCATTCCCTAAGACATCACTGCCTCTCCCTAGTACACATCACTCATAAAAGTTAGACTTACTTAAACACTAGCCTTGGAAGGCAACCTGTTAAAAAGCAGAAACAAAACATTGTCCCCCACTTCCTCCTGCCATGTAATAATCAGTATTTCTAAACTGAAAGTCCAAAAGTGGACTACACCTCAACATTACTGGTGAGGCAATGAGAACTGAGATGCATTTGTAAGGCTTTGAGAAATAATCACTTAAATTAAGCCTAAGATTCTAAGCACCAGTCGAACCCTTCACAGCACATTGCAGCAAGGTAATCAGTTAAAAGCATGCCAACTAGAAGAGACTCCATTCAACCACAGCTCTGCACACTTCCATTCAAAAGTCAAAGCTGGTTTTCTAATGGAAAGAAAAGTCAAGCTTAAAAATGGGGTGCAGGGGAGGTGAGAAACCCAGCCATTGGTTTTAAGCACCAAATTGCGGCACCAAGATGAAGCAAAATAAGCTTTGCATCATGACTTCAACAAAACACATCTGCAGTTTTCTGTACCATGCACACCCCAGAATAATAGAAAAGTATTTTAAAGGCTTTCTTATCTCTTGACATACTATTTTTATCTTTTCAGTATTGAAGTACCATACCAGCCTCAGAAGGATAAGGCTTACATTAAAAAAAAAACAAACCCCCCCAACCTAAAGACAAAATATCCGTGTAAGACAGCAGATCTACCACCTAAATCTTTTTGCTAAATTCTTTATCCTTTTGGAATTTGATATAGGCTGGCTAGGTGATGATTTTGCTATGTCAGCACCTCAAGTTCAGCACCATGTCTGCTTAATCTGCAAAAGCTCACCTCTTTAAGAGAAGGAAAAAAAAACCAAAACATCATGCTTTGCTAAAGAAGTCGAAAGGCCCAATAGAGGGGGAAGAATACCATCAGAGAGAGAATCCAGACTACAAAAAGACCCAAAACATCATGTCCCACCAGATCAAAGTAAAAGAAGTTTTATCATTTTTATTACATCAATTTATATTCTTTGTTTACTCCAAACTTCTAAGAACAGAAATGAAAATATATACAATGCTTATGTTTTCTTTTTCAAGCATTAGGAAAAAGAAGTTTGCTTCAATACCCTTAGTAGTTGTCCCCAAAGACTTTGTTTTTGAATAACAGCAATCAGAAGAATTCACATCAGCAGAGTCAACACCTCTGTGTTATTTTCAAAGCACTGCTCCCATCCCCACCGTAAGTTACTCCCCTGAAGATGCATTTGTGCCACCAGCATAGCACTGACAACATAAAAACTTCTTAAGTTTTCCTTGTCAAAGCAGCTGGGTAAGCTCTGGCAGTAGGAGCTGAATTGTATTTTATGTCCTTTATGCAAAACAAAAGGAAGCATTTGTCACTCTGAGGGGTTCTACTACTTTCTCTACCACTTTACTGAAAGATAATCATTGCAGAAATCTAGAACACTGGCGAATGTCTTTAGTTTACTTCTAGAATAAATATTTTACTGACTACACGTGATTCTGGAACTACGTGGTACATTTCTGGAGAATCTGAACTGCTACAGCATCTACAAAGAAAACCATCACAGCCTTGTCACTGCTGCTAGTAGAGCAAATTGTTATTCAGGCGTTACATGTTCCTTGCAAGACCCAATACCCCATAAATAAATACACAAGTAAATAAATTTTATTGTCTGTCCTCGTTTCAAGGCAATTTGTTACCAACGTATTTCAACCCTATATCTGGTAAACAGGCAAAAGTCTTGCCTTTCTCTTTTCTCCAGTAGTAGTGCAAGGTGAGCCAACACAACCTCTATATAACAATCTGCTTAAGAACCACTCCTACAAAAAAGCACCTACCATTGTACAACTTCTCACAGATAATTAGTCCTTAGGTTTGTTTACAAACACACCATACACATTTTTATAAGCATTAAAGAGCTTCACACACTTTTAAACTGCAACAACCAAAACTGGAGGGAAGAGTTAATATTGCAAATTAGAAGGTTTGAGTAGTATGAAAACCCATTCAAAACGCATCTGTTCCTCTGAAAATCCTTGTCCCTGGGAGACCAAGGGAATTCTGCCCAATCAGTGACTGCAATTTCTCCATTAGATTTCAGACCGGAGATAACAACATTGGAAAAATATGCAAGTGAAGACACTGAGTTTTTTAGCCCTTGAGTAGGTCACCCCAACACATTTTCAGAGGTTAGTTGTACAACAGTGAAGTCAAAAGTTAGTATTTAATGGACTGTCTAAAATTAAAACCTTCCAGTTTGTACACAAGGTGACAGATTTTGGAAAAGATGGCTTCACTTCTGAATAAGCAATCATTTCTAAATCACTGCAAGCTTTTCATGGTGTGTCAGATTTAAATAGAAAAGAAGCCTCTTTTTCCACCTCATTTAAAGCTGCCACTAAGAGCAGCATTGTTAAAACTGCTGATAAAATGAATTTGGTGAACATTTTACTTTTTTTTTTTATTTTGCAATGTGTATTCGCAAATTATGAGTTTAATTCAGGTATATTAGAAAAAAAACAACCATACTGTTTTAAACAAATTAATAAAAAGTATGCAAGACTGCTTTAATGAAAAAAGAGCTAAACTTAATGACTTGATTTCAGAATAGTTTTGATTATAGATTAAAAGCTCTTTTCTTTAAGCATAAGCACAAAAACTGAAATTGAGCTTGCATTTTTAAAGAGAACTTGGACTCTAGTCAATACATTCCAAAATGTTATATATCAGCCCACAAGTCTGTTTCTACTTTAAATGCTTCTGCATTAAAATATTTTAGCCATTTAATTTAAAGCAGATTTCTGTACAGACTGAAAAGAATTTACCAAACTGATCATTAATGACCACATACTTCTTCTAATAGCCAGTTTTATTAGCTGCAATTCATGAAAAAAGGCACACTTCCTAAAACCATCAAAGGCATTTGACATTTGCAGTCCTGGGGAGTTGCTGTTTTCCCTTTTTAAAAAACAGTGAAGGAAGGAAGCCCAGAGGAGAGAGATGTCCAGCAAAAGAGTTGGCCTCGATCACATCCTGCTTGGGCAGCTCTAAATCCAAGGAGAGATGAGCGTGCCAGCAGCTGCGAGAGGGGAGATGCAGCTGCCAAGAACTTTCAACCTCTGACCCAGTTCGAGCGAGCGCACCTCGCCCAGAGCAGGCTGATGGCAGCACAGCTGTGAGGGACTCTGCTGCTCCCCAGGCAGGCAAGCCCCCCAGGCTGCTGTACCACAAAAATATTTATCTTCTTCTACGTGTGCTAAGAAGATTGCAAAGAAATTATTTACAGTAACATTCATTAGACAGTCTCTGAAGGCAGAGCTGGCTAGCATTGCCGTCTGAAAAATGTCTGAAACAGTATCCGAAATTAAGTTTCCAGATTTTCTCGGAGGTTATTCAAGATATTGGAATCACTGCCTGACTTCTCTGGAGAGGCGTATATAGCAGTGTCTAGTTGACAGACAGTGACTGGGAGCCACAAGCATTCATTTAAATGTAATTATGAATTTACTACGTCACCCTTACCATAACAAAGGTAACAAAGGAGGCTTCCATCAGCCAGAATGGAAAGGGGACACCTGAGTTCCACCAACCTTTTGGCTATAAATGTACAATGACGCAATTTTTCTCTCTTTTACTAATAGGAAAGTCCTTTAAGCTTCATTATACTGCCATAAAACTTTGATGGAAGTATTATTCTTATCCAAAAGACTTCCTCCTCTTATTAATTACAAAGTTTTTCCTGTTGTGAGTTAATTTTTCTCGCAACAGGGCTTCCTACGATCTCATCCTTTATCTGAAGGATGCTGACTCATTACTGAGTTTCCTTAATCAAGGGTTTATTTGTACCATCTCAAGGCTGGCCACTGGCATCTGTAAAGTGAGAGAACTGTGTTCAACCATGGAGAATAATGTTCAGGAACAGCAAGATTTGTTGCTAATAATAAACTACCATAAACTCCCTTACAGGCAGCTTTCCTACAGCTTAAGCCCATTCTACTTGCAGTCTTACACCTAAAGCTCATTTTACAAAAGCTGGCTAACAGTAAGTAGTCATGGTTCTGACCATAGATTGCTAAAAAAAAAAAAAAAAAAAAAAAAGGAGAAAAATGCAGGGTTTGTGTTTCAGATCACATTTGATCCCTCCAATTTAGAAAGTCAAAGTGCAAGTTTGCAGAGACACTCCATGTAGGTTATGAAGCAATCTGCCAGGTTCACAGAATTACTTATGAATAAAACATATTAGGTTTCAATCATATTTATATCAACTTCTTGAAGGCCTATATTTTTTTCACTTGCCTATATTCATTCTTGCCTATATTTTTTTCATTCACATCTCCTGCATAGTGAGGAACTAGTCTAGGGGCTTCAGTCAGACATTTGAAAGTGAAGATGCTATTTCCCACTGATCTTCAGTAACCAAGTGTACCTATATCCATTCTAAACCATCACCAGCTTAGCAAGTTTGAACACTTTTTTGAGAAAAGAAACCATTGGCTTTTCTTCAAAGGCATGTGTACAGGGAGCTATATCGTAAATCTTAAGCACACATACAAGACATTTGACATATGCTAAATTTGGAGACATTAGGGTCACTTCTCAATTAAAGATCCAATTGTCTTGGGTATTGTACATCTAACTGTGTGGAGAGTGTACTGTCAATCTAGATCCCCCTTTGATAACTGTATATCTTAGTTCATGAGGCTTTATCTAAAACCCAGGCATGCTTTAGCCAAATAGAAAGCTAAAAATGTTAGCTATTACCTTACTCAAGATTATGAAAATCCAACAGTGATTTTAATCTGGCAAACACGACACAAACCACGTGATCATGGCTAGGACCAACTCAATCATATTTAAAGATAATATATTGTTGTAATACATTTGCTTTTCTACCACTTTGGACAAGTTAAAAAAAAAAACAGGAACACTGCCGTTTAAAACAAAACACAATCACTGAGGGACAACAGAATAAGAAAATAGGACTATTTTTTCAGATTATTATCTTCAACAGGTTGCCCAGGCAAGCTGTGGATGTCCCATTCCTGGGAGTGCTCAAGGTCAGGTTGGATGGGGCTTTGAGCAATCTGCCCATGGCAGGGAGGGTGGAACTAGATGACCTTTAAGGTCCCTTCCAACCCAGACCATTCTATGATTATAACACAGCCTCCAGAACAAATGTCTTCATTACTAGAGAACAGTAAGCAGATGATCGGTAGCACTGTGCAGATTCTCCGGATTTTTACCACAGCATTTTCATAGCACAACACCAACAACATTCATCCGCAAGTAAACAAAGAACACATGCCCTCTTTCCCACCCAAAAAGGAAAATCATTTATATAAGAAAATTCTATTTGAAAACGTTAAAAAAGCAGTCAGTTTACCTCACAGTAAATCACAGGATGGTTTGGTTTGGAAGGGACCTTTAAAGGTCATCTAGTTTCAACCCCCAAGATTGCACTTGCTGTAATCATTTCCCTACAACGTTTTATTGTGTGACAAATCCCATTACATCGAAGTCCTTCAAAAAGAATCTCTCATTTTTCACTTTAGTTACTCCCAAAAGGCTCTTTTTGCCACAAAGCTCTTTCTAGAAGATGACTGAACACTGCTTCATTCACAGCCATTTGCACCTGCCAAACACATCAGCTTATATGGAATTTAAGAAAAGAGATGGAGAAAGCAGCTCCCAAGAGACTGGAGTTACTGTATTAACAAGCACATGGGACATTCACATTTCATATGTCAACAAATCTTTCCATTTCAGGTTTATAATATTAAGTTATATTAATGCTAATATTAAGTAAATGATACATTACCAATTGCTCACCTTCAAAGACTATGACGTTTTAATATTATTTTATCAAATAAACTCCACAGGAACAATTATATGGAAATGCAACTTTGTGTCAGAGGAAGAATATCCGAGGCACCTTTCTGGAGTACCCCAGTAACTCCAAACCAAGTTCAATTTACAGTATTATTTTGGAACAAAATACCTTGAGGGAGATTAAAACTTTCATTTAAAAAAGATGATATGTTTCAGAATTCTAAGCAATTTGTCACAAGTTATCCACACAGGAAGCCTTCCAGGCAATAACAACTATGGAAAAATCAGTTAGATTGTGGCATATCATATTAAATAAGTGTGCTGGTTAAATAAGACAGTAAGTCAAAACGTTACAGGAATTTAATACAAGTTCTGATGTCTTCACAAAAACAGCTTAAATGCTTTCTGAACATGTATCACCTTTTTATAAGCACTGAGATGTACTGAGGAATGTACCTGATAAAACTCAAACTTCTTAGTAACTACTATTCTTTAAACAAAGCCCCAGAAGAGTTTCTCAGAGCACTCTATGGTTGTATAACAATATGGAGATAACAGCAGAGAAACACAATTTCTATGTGTTATTTTTACAGGTTTCATACCTAGAGTTGTGTGATGTTTACTCACCTGCTGAATAATTTTGGAATCTTTCGGAAGGTTTTCCCTAGGTGGGACTTTTCCAAACAACTTCCAACCAGGAGCGCTTTGGACAGCAGGTTTGAGTTCCTTTGTCCTTTTAGTGAAAAAGTTTCTGTAAAGAGAGGAGGGTTTTCTTTTTGTTTATTATAAGCATATAAACAAAATATATTGCGCCCATTGAAATTTACTGCTCCACAAATGCAGAGTGTGCTACCTTAGCTTTCTCTTTGACTTGAAATTCATTAACTTGAAATGAAGCATCTTTCATTACAGATGCTTTGATGCTCATATTTGGTTTAAACATCCAGCTTTACTTCTGAATTTTAAGCTACTTTATGAAATATCAGAGCTTTATTTAGTAATACCAGGCACTTTATTAAATGTAAGATAGCAGCATGAGACACCTCTCAGACTTTTGTTTGGGATTTGCTTTAATGTCTTACTAACCTATTTTGGTACTGAAATGACAACAGTTGAAAAACACAGTGTAACTCAGAGATTTAAAAAAGAAATTGTGAAATATTACTTCTACTAACATTCTCTGCAATCTTCACACCTTCAACTTTCATAACATGGACTAGAAAACCAGTGAACAATCACACAGCTTTAGTTTAGCAGATAACCTTTACCAGTGCCTAAGGCAATTACACTGAAAAAAGCAGATGACTGCATTGCTCTTACTTCTTAGAAAGCCAACCATCACAAGACCATATTAGCAACCATTTGTGTAGATACTCAGCTGTACTTTTTGACTCAAATCACAAGCTCCCACAGAGCATGCTATGTATGAGTGCTTAGAAAATTAAAGAAGTGTATTTATTCCACATATTGGAAAGTTACTTTCCAGAAACTTGCAACACAAAGGGATTAAAAGCTCAGTAGTCCATAAGGTTATTTCTCAGGAAGCTTACAAGCTGACCTCTGAGTGAACAGAATATGGAGCACTTTTATTGAAAGATGTTTTAGTGCAGTGCTAACTAGCTAACTTCACAATCTTCATCTGGAAAGAGATCCCCAGATTTATTCTGCACTTGAAGTGTTTGCTATATTTTAAAATACAATTCCTTCTCAAATTGGATGCAGTCACATTTGTGCACAGTGAACAGTCTTTTGGCTTGTCCAGATAAAAGAAGCATGCTTCAAACACCTCAGCTCATCTGAAAAGTGCTCAGTGCTCTTAAATTCCAGTGTTGTCAGGATTTCTGGGCAGGCAGCACAGTTTTACAACTTAGAACTGTTAGTGTTTCTAAGATATTGTACAGCTTTCAAATACAAACTATCTTTTCAGTTTCCAGAATGCTTTTTGTTATTTGGGAAACAGGCAAATGCCTGTCACAAAAATCCCTTCCATGCAAGTTTGCATGAATGGACTATACAGTCTGTAAACTTATGTGTAGTTGAAGATGTAGCCACCAGCAAAAAGCAAGCTGGAGAGATGGAGAAGTAGAGGCTGATAGAGCATGGAAGCCTCCCAAGAACTGGTAAGCTCAACTGGTGGTCCTCTGGAATTCAGGAAGATTAAGAAACCCCAAGACTCTCTGTCTGAGGTCACCAGCACACACTACAATCCTCAACAGCTTGCTAAAAAAAAAAAGTCTGCATTCAAAGAATCAAACTGTTGCTATTAATAATAGCATAATTAATACAAGGTGTTCTGGTAAGCATTAGTTGTGACCCACACATCCCACAGCTCTGTCTCCATCAGGGAAACTTGCAATATCCTAATCCATCCCTATAGAAATAATGTAAGCACTCAAACACCAAGATAGTGGTTTCCAACACATAATCTAGAAAGAAGAGCTGATGAAAAAGCCAAGCCGTGGCACCAATGTCTTTAAAAGACACTGTCCTCAGTCAGTCCCAGGACTGCACACCATTAGTGAAATGAACAGGTCCACCCATCAAGGCAAAAAAAAAAAAAGTGCACTTGCATGTTTACAGAAATAACAAAGGCTCGCTTTACAAGTACAGGACACCTTCCACAATGCTTTAGGTTGTCTTCAGGAGGGAAGGAAGACTGTTTGAAGAATCATCAACAAAACAAGACTACTGCAGCAGCTGTCTTTGAACTTAACTGAAAAAGACTTTTCCACCCGAAAGCACAAATGCAGGAAGATACATTCTGCAGTACTGTTCTTGACTTCATGGATAGCAATTACCATCCAGTCTCTGCACATACTATGGAACACCACCAGAATAACTTAGCAGTTGAGATCCACTGCTTCTAGCACTTGTGGAAGCTGAAAGGTCTATGCCTTTAACATTGATGGCAATCTGTCACTGTATCAAAGCTGGTTTATGATTAACTAGGAAGCTGGTAGATTTAAAAAAGGAAAAATGTGTAAACAAACAGAAGGTTTTAATTAATATTTTGGTACAAAAGATTAAGGAATGCTCACAGCTTTTACAACATCTCGTTTTTCAATTTTTTTTAACAAATATAATATTCAAACAAACCTTCCGGAAAGCAGCCTGGAAGAGAAGAAATTTCACTTTTATTGAGTAGATGTTCATTGAAGTCTGTTTCTTGTGAAGGTACAAAGCTGGTCAAACTTTTTATGATGTCAGAATAAACCTCACATAGGAATTCTAATCCAAGAGAAATTAATGAGATGTTTACAAATAAAGTTTGCTGAAGATGGAAGGACACAATATATTGTTTTGGCAGCTAGCAGTATCACATCTGATGTGTTGTTGACAGCAGTAAAGACTTACAAAAGCCTTGTTAAGGAACAGCATCTGTGAATGCTTACAAGTTGCATTCACTGAATGGCAGAAGTGTACTAGATTTGATATATTTGTTGCTGCTTAGAATATTCATGAGCTTCACTGATCCCAGGAAGAGTCATCTATTGAGATGGCTGAAAAGTCAATAGCATTTTGGTACAGAATCTCAAAATCTGTTTGAAAACGTCAAAATTCCTTAAAAAGAAGCCTGCACTTTAGAATTGAATAATGCTTTCTGTTGCAAGGACCCTTGGGATAGAAGTATTAAATTAGTTCATAGATTTAAGCTCTAGTTTACAAAAACCCATGGGAAAAGTTGCAGGGGTTTTTTCCCTGCTACTTTTATAGAACACATATTAACACTCTCAAATGACACTCCTAAATGTTTCAGCAGGTGCCTTGAAGAGCTTGAAAACTAAGTGAAGTGCCACAGAAGGAGAAGCTGCTAGTGGCACACATCAAGACATCTATTGCTAACAAGGTTTGGATTACGCTACACAAAAATCTATGGGGCTCTGATCACCCAACTACAACAGCTGTAGTGACAGTTAAGACTAGTGGTTTTCCTCCTTATTTTTAACAATGTTGCTTCAACTATTACTGCCTGTGCCCACAGCATTCTGTACCAGTTTCACCATACTGATGGTACAGTAATTCAGAAATGTTAACGTTAATGCCACCGTTAATGTAGAAGTGGTTATGTTCTACTGCAATTGCTTGTTTCCACTCTGGTTTTGCTTTTAAATTCCTTTTTCCATTGTCATTTAAGATAAATTAGTGAAGTCTAAATACCATTAGAATTAAATCTAAGAAGGGGATAGGTGGAACTTGATATTTTAATGGATTTTTTTTTTGTTTACTTTGGGGGTTTGGCTTCCCTCCTGAAAAAAATCTGAACACAACTTTTTTCCAATTTCCAAGCTAGTTGTACATCAGTTCAAGAGATGACAGATTTCCAAGTTTTAGAGGAAGTTACTGAACAATACAAGACAGTTACTTCAAAACTGATCTTAAATTATATCAAAATACAGACTAGAAACTGGGCTGCTGTATTTACACAACAGTCACTCAAAGAAAGCTGAAGTGCTTTGAATAGCAGCAACCATGAACATCAGCAGGTAGGAAAAGTGCCAGGCTAGATACAACTACAGCACTCTGCCTCTAGGTATGAGTGATTCACCTCTCCACGAGACCAAGTAGTCTTGCAATAGTCTTTTGTTCAACCAAAAATGTCAAACTGTAATCTAGTTTCAAGTTAGATATCATTTTGCTACAGTTCTTTCAAAGATCACACACATGGACCTTCCCTTTTTACTGCTTCACTGTGTGCCACAAACAACAGACTACCTGTATTCCACTGCTTTGTGCGTCCCAGCAACACCTGAAGTTGCTTTCCTTCCCCCTCCAAACACACATCCCTAGGTTTCCAATAACAGATTCAAAGGAGCCTGCCAAAAGGTTTATCTCTGATGATTCAGAGCTCTGATGTTGTTAAGATATAGTAGGACATTACTGGAAGCAATCAACTTTATTTACTTCCATTTTCCCTGAAAGTCCCATTTGAGTTCAGCATTCTTAACAATAGCTCTTGGAAACAGCATTCACAAGTCTATATCTGCCCTTGGTTCTCTAGCTCTAAAGCACGATACAGACACTGACTCATCTCTCCACTCCCTCTATAAAACTGTAGCCCTTAAACCCATACATTCAACAACACTTGTAAGTGCAGCCCCAGCTTAGAAAGCCACACCAACTGTTTAGCCAGGGAGTCTAGAAACGCAGTTTTATCAGATTCTTTAAAGGCGTTGCAAACTCAAAGACAGTTAAACAAAGCAGTCAGGAGTCATAACAAGGATTTGCCTCTTCTCCGTTTAGGAATGTCTGTAGCCTCAATCTACTTCTTACTTGGTGTTAGAGAATCCAGTCATTAGAACTCCACATTCAGGCTCAAGCTTCACCTATCCTGATGCTTTTGGCAATCTACAGACAGATTTCAGGTAGGTTGGATCTTACACCTGAGCCATTTAAGATGAATATCAGTATAAAGCATATAAAAAAATCAGCCTGCATTTCTCCAATTTGTTAATTGTGCACTAAAAAGAAATGGTAAAATTCTAATGGTATCAACTACTGACACAAGGATATGGTCTTGGAAGAGAGCACAAACCATATGATCATCATTAGTGTTATACATGAACAATGAACCATGCGTCCTTACAGTTCACTTTAATATACAAATAAATTTAATTCAAAATGCTGCACCATGTTAGACAAAAAAAACCCCAAACAAACAAACTGGGGGCATCCCTGGAAAGCAGTCCTTACAGAACTTGCAGCATGGCACCAAACAAACAATTTTTTCCAAATAAAATATTCAGAATTCAG